AGAGTCTTTTACTAATTGTTATCAGAAACATATACCTAATAATTTTTGTTATTATATTAAATATAGTAATGGTGATTATAAACCTCCTGTAACATATTCTGGTCCAAACGTAGCTCAAGTATTTTATGAATGTATGAAAAATGAAGAAATACTTATTTCTAAAATATATGATAAAATAGTTCCTATGAAAACATTGAATGTAGAACAATTAAATAATTATTATTATAAATCTGATAAATGTCATATTTGTGAAAGATATTTATCAGATTTACCTCCAATGTTAGAGAAAAAAATTAAAATAAGTAAAGACACTATTGAATATTATAAAAATACTGATGTTAAAAATTTTAAATTGTATGAAGATGAACTTAAAATAATTAAAGACAATATTGAATATTATAAAAATACTGATGATGTTAAAAATTTTAAATTGTATGAAGATGAACATAAAATAATTAAAGACAATATTAAATATTATAAAAATACTGATGTTAAAAAAATTAAATATTATGAAGATAAACTTAAAATAATTAAAGACTCTATTAAATATTATAAAAAGACTGATGATGTTAAAAAATTAAAATTGTATGAAGATAAACTTAAAAAAATTAAAGACCCTATTAAATATTATAAAAAAGAATTAAATTTTTATGAAGATAAACTTAAAAAAGAATTAGAAAATAAAAATAAAAATATGCGAAAAGTTCAGGATCATGACCATTTAACTGGAGAATATAGAGGAGCAGCACATTCTATCTGTAATCTTAACTACCAAAATCCACGTTTTATTCCAATTGCTTTTCATAATCTTTCAGGTTATGATGCTCATCTATTTATAAAAGAATTTGGAAACGATAATGAAAGAATAAAAATGATCCCAAATAATGAGGAAAAATATATTTCTTTTTCAAAAATGATGTCACGTGTAGTAACTAGGAAAGGTAAAAACATAAAAATATGTACAGAATTAAGATTTATAGATTCATTCAAATTTTTACCTAGTTCTTTAGAAAACTTAACAAATAATTTAAGAAATGATTCGAAATTAAATTTAAAAAATAAATTTAAAGAACTTAGTAAATATTTTTCTGAAGAACATTTAGATTTAGTTACTAGAAAGTTAGCATATCCCTATGAGTATATGGATTGTGAAGAAAAATTTAATGAAACATGTTTACCTCCTATTGAAAAATTTTATAGTTCTCTCACTGATAAAAATATAACTAAAGAGGAGTATAAAAACTCACAAAAAATTTGGAAAGTGTTTAAAATACAAAATATACGTGAATTCACTATTTTATATAATTTGATTGATGTTTTATTGTTAACAGATATAATAGAAAATTTTAGAGACATTTCTTTAAAAAATTATAAATTAGATCCTATGTGGTATTACACAACACCAGGATTTGCATGGGATAGTATGTTAAGAATGACAAAAGTAAAATTAGATTTATTAACAGATGTCGATCAATTATTGATGTTTGAATCTGGAATCAGAGGTGGATTATCTCAATGTAGTCAAAGATATTCAAAAGCAAATAATAAATACATGGGAGATAAATTTAAAAAAAAGGATGAATCAATATTTTTAGAATACTTGGATGCAAATAATCTTTATGGGTGGGCAATGAATAAATATTTACCTACTGGAGATTTCAAATGGGTTGATAATCTGAATGATTTTGATGTAATGAATATTTCTGATAAATCATGTAAAGGTTATATTTTAGAAGTCGATTTATCTTACCCTAAAGAACTCCATGATCTACATTCAGATTTCCCTTTAGCACCAGAAAGACATTTTGATAACAAACAACTTCCAAAATTATTAACAACTTTGTATGATAAGAAAAAATATATAATACATTATGAAACACTAAAATTATATATTAATTTAGGTTTAAAGATAGAGAAAATTCATAGAGTATTAGAATTTAGTCAATCTCCTTGGTTAAAAGTTTATATTGATTTTAATACTAATCTTAGATCAGAAGCTAAGAATGAGTTTGAAAAAGAATTTTTCAAATTAATGAATAATAGTGTTTATGGAGGTACTATGATGAATGTTCGAAATCATGTTGATATAAAATTATGTTCTAATGCAGCCCAACTAGAAAAATTAATTACAAAACCAAATTTTGATCGAAGGACAATTTTTACAGAAAATTTAGCTGCCGTACATATGAAAAGAACACAAATATCTTTCAAACAACCAATATATGTAGGAATGTGTATTTTAGATTTATCTAAAATGTTAATGTATGATTTTTATTATAATACTAGCTGATCCCGTGCACTTCGTCGCCCGTTAAATGTATCAACTCAATATGACTCAAACTTTGTTCAATTCATTATTCAATATTCGGTGTATGGTGTTCAAAATTTATCTTATCTTTTCCGTTGCCCGGAATAAAAATTCTGAATCGCAGCAGTACATTATCAGGTAGGCAATCTACCTGCGGTAGATCGCGGACCCCGTGCTGTTTGTACGGAAGTGTATGATTTAACTCTAAAGTATCAAAGTTATACCAAGTTTATTTTGATATAATACTGTGGATTAATATAACAAATTTGGTTGCTCGTAAAAAATCGCAACTCTTAAAAAAATTATGATTGTTGAACTCCTTTTGGGTGTAACTTGCTGCGGTAAGTGCAACTCAGCCACCCTGGTAGGCAATGTTCAATAATTCGATTTGATGCAAGCTTGTACGCCTGATCTGCCCGAATAACCAATGGCAACCAATAAATAAATGCTAATTTCTAATGTAGACTGTAACCAATGGCAACTATAAATAAATAAAAATAAAATTTTCAATTTCTATCGTGAATCTCAATGTCCCTGTTTCAGCACCTATTTAAAATGCGAATTTTGGCAAATCCTTTCTTAACGCTCGTCTACATCATAATAGCTATCTGTATGCCAAATTTCAGCCAGATCCATCCAATGGTTTGAGCTGTGCGTTGATAGCAGTGCGTTTATAGTATAAACAAAAAAAAAACAAACATGCCCGATTAACCATAGATTATACTGTATTAGCCAGTACAGCGAGCTGATGTATTAATTGCCATAGAGATGTATAAATTGTTATTATCATATCAATATAAATTATTTTTATTTTTAATTCACTCATTTTAATACCAATATTGTATATTTAAATTAAATATTGCTTGATAGATGGCGCCACTATCATATTCTTTCAACCCCACTTTTACCCCCTTGTAGGTCGAATTTTCAAAAATCCTTTCTTAGTGCGCCCTTACATTGCTTAAGGAACCTCTGTACAAAATTTCAAGTCTCTAGACCCAGCAGTTCCGGCTATGAATCACCCAGGACAAGTCTTTTTATATATACAGATTATAAAGAAAAAATATGTAAATAGAGTTAGATTGTTATATACAGATACAGATTCACTAATATTAGAAATAAAAACTAAAGATTTTTATCAAGATATGAAAATTTATTAGATCATTTTGACACTTCAGATTATCCAAAAGATAATATTTATGGTTTACCTTTAGTTAACAAAAAAGTTTTAGGCAAGTTTAAAGATGAGTTAAATGGAAAAATAATGTCTGAAATCTGAATTTATAGGTTTAAGATCTAAATTATATTCTCATCGAATCTTAGATACTGAAAAAGAAATTAAAAAAGCTAAAGGTGTTAAAAAAAATGTTGTAGAAAATAAAATATGTTTTAATGATTTTGAAAAATGTTTACTAACAAAAGAATCAAAATATATTAAACAAAATTTATTTAGAACTAAGAAACAAGATATTTTTACTGTAGAACAAAACAAAAAAGCTTTAAGTGTTTATGATTATAAAAGATTTACTTTGGAAAATGGTATTGATATATTAGCTTGGGGACATTATAAAACAAACATAGATAGAAACGATTTTGTAAACCATCTCAATACACTGATTAGAAATCAAAATCAAAAAGATTAGAAAAATATTTTTAATAGAAAAATGTTAAAAAAAAAATTTTTTTTACTAATATAAATAATAGAAATGGAAAATTGTAAAAACTTTTAGAAATGGAAACTTGTAAAAATCATTTAGATATGATCCAAAAGTATAAAAATATACTAAATGAGTTATCAGAAATTGAATCATCTATGTATAGTTTAGAAACTCATGTATCATCTTTATATCAATCTTATGATAATAAGTATAGTTACAATCGTTACCAAAACAATTTTAAGAAATTATTTGATTATTTTAAGAAAATTCATTATGAATTATCGAATCATATAATGAATAATTGGTTTGAAAACTATATTTAATGTTCACTAGTTTGTTGTTAGACTTTTTTTTAATAGAACAATTCTATTAAAAAATATTTTAATTATTAATATCATAAGTATTATGAAAAATATTTTGGGGGTTTTTGTATTTAATAAGTTTTGCGAAAAATGTTTTTATTATTATTACATTTCGATTTTTATTTTTAATAATTAAGTTTTGCGGAAAATATTTTTATTATTATTACATTTCATAAGTTTTGCGAAAAAATTTTTTAATTATTATTGCATTTCGATTTTTATTTTTAATAATTAAGTTTTGCGGAAAATATTTTTATAATTATTGCATTTCATAAGTTTTGCGAAAAATTTTTTTAATTATTATTGCATTTCAATTTTCTGATCTTTTTGCACATTGTTTTCTTTGTGATCTTTTACTGATATATTATGAGGTGTGCCAGGACTGGTATATATATACTACTGGTACCTATATAATATTATATAACTAATTTTTAATTATATAAATCTAATTTCCAATTATCATCTGTAGGTGACAGTAATTTGAAAAATATAACAGTACTGCTATTGAAAATGAAAGAGAAAATCTGAATAGTGATAATGGTAATTTCTAGTTAACTTTTTTACCTAAACTATTTTAAAAACTAAAACTACTTTCTAGATGTCAATGCTTCAAAACAAGACAATGAAAAAAATCAAGTTAATACAATTGAAAATGTTGAAAATGTTGATACCATGGAAATAGTTGAAATCTGTTCAAATATTGATAATGGTACCTATATAATATACACCTGCATTTTTTTTTATTTTTAATTGTAAATTAAAATGTTTCAGCACACTGAGTGCTATTACAAGTATTATACAAATATATAATTGTGTTAATAATAATAGTTTATAATAAATGTTATACGTAAATTTAAATTCTATAATTTTAAACAAGTATAACTTTTTTTTTTACAGAGGCTACTGATATGTTTATAAAACCTAGAAGTATTAATTTTACAAGCTTTTGGTCATTCCATCCTCATCAACCGAAAACCAACATTCCATTCAGACCTTCAAAATTGTACAACCGTAAGGATGGAGGTCATCGTAAATGGATATCTTATTGTGTTAAGAAAAAAGCTTTATTTTGCAATATATGTCTTTGTTATGGTGATGGTTCTGGATCATTTTCCAAAGGATTTTCTGTCTGGAAACATGTATATGAGCGAGTCAGTGATCACGAAGAAACAATAACACACAAATTAAATGTTGATGCTCATTTGATGAAAAAGCAATTTTCTTCAGTGGATTCACTTTTAACACACGGACTTGGTTCAATAAGAAAAATACAAGTTGAAAACAATCGGAATGTATTACTTCGTCTTATTGATGTGTTAAAGTTAATTGGAAAGCGCGGACTAAGTTATAGAGGTAAAACAAATGAGGCTGCTTATTCACTCGACGATACTTCCTTAGACCATGGCAATTTTTTGGAAATAACTTTACTTATTAGTAAATATGATTCCTTGCTTAAATCACATTTAGATAAAGTTGTAAAAAAAAGTTTAAAATGTTATAATTCTGGAGCCAAACAAGGAGGAGGTCAAGTTACTTTTTTATCAAAAACTACAATTAATTATATTCCTGAAATTATTGCTAAAAATATCAAATTTACAATTTCTAATGAAGTGAAAGATGCTGTAATATATTCTGTACAACTCGATACAACACAAGATATATCTGTTACAGATCAATGCTCAATAATATTAAGATATGTAAATGGTACATCTGTCTTTGAAAGATTAGTTGGTATGGTAAGGTGTAGCTCAAGTAAAGGCTCCGATTTTGTTGAGTTACTCTTAAAAGTTCTCAAAGATATGAATCTAGACCCAAAATGCTGTATAGGAAACGCAACCTACGGAGCTGCAAATATGCAAGGAGTTTATAATGGATTTTCCACGAAAATGAGCGAAGCAACAGTTGAACAAGTACATGTATGGTGTTATGCACATGTATTAAATTTAGTTATTAGTGATATTACAAGCAAAATTGTCCAATCTATTTCTTTGTTTGGTATCTTGCAAGGATGTGCGGTATTTATACGTGAGTCATATAAACGTATGGACATATGGACAACCAAAAATTCCAAAAAAAAATATGTACAATCGGCGAAACAAGATGGTGGTCCAAAGATGCAGCATTGACAAAGGTTTTTGGACAATTTAATGAACCCGAAAATGGATTGTATGTTGATCTCATAACTACATTAGATGAAATTGAAAACAATTTAGGTATAACTCCAGATGCTCGATTCAAGGCAAAAAATTTAAAAGAAGGTTTGTTAAAATATGAAACTATTTTAACTGCCCAAATGTACTTGCGAATTTTTAAAAAAACCACTCCTCTATCAAAATATTTACAAGGGCATGGAGTTAATATAATTGCAGCTTATCAAATGGTGAAACAAACTTTGAATGATTTACAAGACTGTGCCCGCCAATTGCAATGTATAAAAGAAGCAGCCAATACTTTTGTTGAATATACCAATAAAAAATTTGATGAAATGGAGAATAATACTTTAGAAATTCTAAATGAGTTACCTCATATTAGAGTAAGAAAAAAAAAGACAATTTACTGACTATGAATCAATAGATGATCCTATTACAGATCCATTACGGGCATTTGAAATCAATGTTTATAACCAAGTATTTGATACTGTTATTGAAAGTATTTCATCAAGATTTGAAAAACATGAACAACTATGTGCAGATTTTTCTTGTCTTGACCCAAACAATTTTCAACCAGATTTACCACTTCCAACAAATGCTTTAATAAAAATATATGAAAAAATCAGAAATTTTATTCCGGACATAACTTACGATAATCTTAGAAATGAATATGTTAACTTTACATCTAAATGGAGAGAATTGAAAAAAACCATTGCTTGTGTGTATGATGAACTAAATAATCAAGTTACTGATGATGGCGATGATTCAGAAAATGGTAATCTATATTTATTATTACATAAATATTAAAAAATAAAATCATCAATAATTATGTTATATTTTATTTTATGTTTTGTTCTAGGACTCAAGAGTGATGATGATATTATAGTATGTGTGCATAGTGCCAGTACCAAGTATTGTGTAACCTGCTGTTATGAAGTGTTGGTGAAATATAATTTATACGCAAATACATATCGTGGCCTCCACTTTGCATATAAATTTATGCTTACTTTATCCATTACACAAGTAGAATGTGAAAGTACATTTTCGAAATTAAAATTTGTAAAAAGTTATTTAAGAAATACAATAGGTCAGAATGTATTAGAGAGTATGTTGCTAATGAATGTATAAAAAGATATTCTCAACAAAATTGATTCCGAAGACATCATAAATAAATTAGGAGCTAGAAGCCCAGTATTTGGTAGAATGTTACTATGTTAAAATGAAAAACTAAATTAGATTAAATAGTAAAAAATTGTTTTGTTATACATTGTTGGTTATGTGTTATGCTTTATTTTGATGTGGTACTTAATAAAATTCATATAGTAATGTAGTTGCGAGCGGAGCGAGCGACTTTTTTTTTCATGTTTGGGGCCCCTTTGTAAAATTTCCCGGTAGGCCAAAATTGACCTATCCGCCCATGTTCACACCGTATTCAAGCACCGCTCTATCATACAATGAAGAAATTAGAATTAATGTTCAAAACATGGATTCTTACACTTTGTCGTGTGAGAGTTATATTTACATTGTGGGGAAAATAAATAAACTTGCCGATGCAGCTGGAGATGTTCGTTTTTCAAATAACGGATTGGCATTTTTATTCTCCGAGATGCGATATGAAATAAACGGAATAGAAATACAAAAATTGAAATCACCTGGAGTGTCTTCTTGCTTGAAAGCATGCTACTCGTATACTCCAAACGATTTGAATACTCTAGAGAACGCTGCTTGGGACTCGGCAATGGATAGTGAAGATAATAAAAATTTTTATGAGCAACAATGTATTTGCCTGGTGTATCCCTCTAAAACATTTATTCGGATTTTGTGAAGACTATAAAAAAATATTACTTAATTGTAATCAGCAACTGATTTTAAATCGTGCATCTACCGACTTGGATGCGATACACGTTGTTGGTGAGGGTGCAACCAAATCCGTTGATAAAAAAAAAAAAAATTACAATTGAACTGACTAAGGTGACCTGGAAGATGCCTATTATCAAAGTCAGTGATAAAGAAAAATTAAAGTTATTGAAAGTATTAGATTCTCGTAAAACGTTATCGTGTGCGTTCAGAACCTGGGATCTCTGTGAGTATCCTGTACTCCCTAGAAATACTTCTCATTCGTGAACAGTGAAGTCTAGCAGCTTGCTCGAAAAGCCTAGATTTGTGCTGTCTGGATTACAAACAGATCGAAAAAAAAAATATCGAAAACGACACTGGTCGATTCGATCACTGTCAACTAAAAAATCTTAAGGTTCACTTAAATTCTGAAGTGTTCCCGTATGAAGACTTTCGCGCTGATTTTAAAAATAATACCACCAGTATACTCTACAAAGCTTATACAGACTTTCAAAAATCGTATTAGGAAAGAGATTATTGTGAACCATTATTATCAAAACATATTTTTCAAAATTATGTTCCAATCATCGTTGTTGATTTGTCACACCAGGACGATAACGTTAAATCATCGACCGTGGACCTACGAAATTAATTTGAAACGGATACAATTATTCCAGAAAAAACTGCAGCTTATTGTTTAATACTACATGATCAGATTATAACTTATAATCCCTTTAGCGGAGATGTTAGAAAGTTGTAAACCTTATATATAACTCTATTTCATACCTTGTAAATATTTTTATACCTTGTAAATATTTTATACCTTGTAAATATTTTATACCTTGTAATTAGTACCTTATTTTCTAATTAATGAGAAAACTTGATTTTAAATATCACGCTTGTTTTTATTTCACACACACAAAATTATTTAAACAATATCATTCAAAAAGAGTTTGCGTTTTGCGTTCCATTTTTCGTGGGCTTGCCGCTTAGAATAGATGGCGATTGGTGGAAAGACGTTGGATCGTCAACAGCAGGGCTTGTTGGTGGACTGCTAGGCTATACAAATAATAGTTTGTTAATATATATTTATTTTTAAAAATTAAATGTGAGGTATTACCAATGTCTTGGTTGGTGCCCATGTCGCCAGTGTAGGGTTGATTTGCGTTAAAAAGTCGTCGATAAAATTCCCCTCGTCAGCTCCCTAAATAATTATTAAAATTATTAATTGTATTATTTTTCAATATATAAGTTATAAATTACTCTTGCTTGTAAAAAATCATTATCATCATACATAGTTGAGTATTGAGGCGGCGAAATGAGTCTAACCTCGAATTCAGTGAACAACTATAAAATAATAAAATACATTAAATATTTTACAAGTGATATAATTTAAAGGTTAAATTACCTCGGTATTTTCCGCTCTCCATTGTTCAGCTAATTGACTTGTTGCCAACATTTTCAGCTGGCTGATGAAATTCATGTCTTCTTTAGGATTGGATTCAATAATTTTATCGTCACTTAAATTTTTGATAAAAACGATCATTTCTTCGTTTGGTTTTTCAACTTTGGTAAATTCCTGGTCCAAATAATTACCGATCATAGCAAATTGATTTAAGACAAGTGGTCGTATGATGGTTGACTTTCGAACGACTCTTTCGAAAATACACCACTCCAAATATTGCAACTGTATTAGGTCCGCGCGATTCAACAGTACTCGGCACCCGACTTGTGTTTTTGATTCGATGACAAGCATATTTTCCCCTTGATACACCATACTAGACAGCGAAATAATTTCGGGTTCCAGAAATAAATTTCGCTTATATTTTTGCGGTTGATCCAAAATAAACGTATAAACAATATATTTCCCATCAGAGAGAATATACATCTTAAAAAATCGGCTGGATATTTACATACCGCGATGGTGTGATTATTTGGACTACGATATTGAATTCGTTAGTCGGATCGATGCCAATATGTATAAACTTACGGGCGACGAAGTCAAGTGTAAAATTACTGCAGTCGATGAGGTCCGCAGGTGGTGTCGGATGAACGTACGTATAATTCTTCTTTTTGTATAGGGCATCGTTGTTGGTGAAAGAATCAGCCATGTTTAAAATTATTTTTAAACACTTTTAGATAAACTGTTTTTTTAAAAAAAAAAACTTAGAGAGCAAGAAAAATATACGTGTACACTGGTTTAACGCAGTAGACGGACTAAATACAAGTGCCAGTTGTTTCAGCATAGTTGTATGTACAAGACATTAGTACAATAGCCGTGTGAATTGCCCCTTATTCGATATGACAGATACTTGTATTATTAGTGTATGAGAGGTGGCTATTAAGACATCCTGGCTATGACAATAAGTAGGCTATTAGGGTTAATGTATTTTTCATTAATGGGTATTTTCTATTCGATATACTATAGGTATAATGGTCATTTATTGATTGTTCGGCGAGCGTGCGAACGGATGTCTATTTCATCCTTTCATTAATTGGCTCCTAATGACAATACGCAGCTGCAAGCTATTAGGAACTATAAATGTTTCTTTCGCAGTTTTATGTAAAGTAATACTTAAGAATCCGCGACATCCTGGCGACAGTCTGTAGACTGACTATTATTATACAGGCTGAATTGTGATGAGTGATGATGATGAGGGTGCGGGTGCGGATCAGCAATGGTCATGGGGTCATGGGATAATGGGTTGCTGGTTGCGGTTCGATGAGTGATGAGGATGAGGGTGCGGGCGCGGATCAGCAATGGTCATGGGGTCATGGGATAATGGGTTGCGGGTGCGGGATCAACAATGGTCATGGGGTCATGGGACGAGGATTCAGAACATACCTTTTTATACTACTACCCTTACTTAATTGTTCATTTAATATAATATGTAACAACTTTCAGGTGTGTTATCTGAAGCTCGATTAAAGTTTCCAAAAGCTGTTGTCAAGTCAGATTTATCCAGTGCTGAAGAAAATTATTTTGAAAAGAGACAGAAAACATTAAAACGCTATAATGATAGTATTTCACCGAATACCAACAAATTAAAAAAAAACAATCACAATCATTTAAAAACAAATACTATAAGTAACATGTGTCCACCTCACTATGTATCTAAAGGTTTTATGATATTTTTTTTTACATTTTCAAACCTAATTAAATAGTTGTACTTATAATTAATAATAAGGAATATAATTTTTATTTCATTAGTTGGAACTCATGTTATAAAAGGATCAGATTCAAGCGATGACTCTGATGATAATACAATTTGGAAAGTTACTAAAAAATCTCATATTGAAAATGATAAAGGTATAGTTTTAATTTTATGAGGATACTTAAAGACACTAACTATAGTACCATAGTTTCACATGCTATAAAAACAACACATTTTTTTTTCCCAGCTATTGGCCACTTTATTTTTGTCCTTTACCTAACTATATAAATATTTAAACTTGTTTTAGATGTATTTGATAATAATACTCGAAATTCACCGAAATCAACTTTAAGTACTCCAGACATATTATATTCTCCTATTGGAAATTGGAAATTTACGCCAACTGACATTGGCAAAGTTAGTCAATCAATATCTGCAACTAAATTATTAGAAGATATTGAGCCTGAAGTATATACTTCATCAACAAACAACAAATTAAGTACAAATATTGCTGTCAAAAGAAAACTGTTTTATGTGGACAATTATTCTAGACAAATTACAGGTATATTTTTAAATATTTAAATGTGTTATAGTGCAAAAATAATATATTACCCATACAATATTAATTTAATTTCCAAGGTCACGATAGTAAAGAAAAATAAACAAATAAAGATATCTTAACTGCTATAAAAGGTATTATTTTTAAAATAACTTTTAGTCAAAGCTAATATTGATGATAATATTATAAATCTACTATTATATGATAAGATAGTTACTTGATATGTTAAAACTTAATTTTAATTTTAGATTTTAAAAGTGTGATTTTAACTTCTCATGCATATATGAAACACGAGTTACAAGCTATGATGTATTTGTGTCAAACCACTAATGAGAATGTCGAAAAACTGATGAAAGAATAATCATCTTTTATTCCAGTACAAAATGATGATGTAAACATGGAAATGTTTCCAATCACAGATGGGCAAGGATTAAAAATATTAGAAGAACAAATTAAAGATAATGGTTTTAGAATCTCTATGGTAACTAAATTAATTAAAATGTATTATATGGTAAAGTCCTTAAACTTCATTGGTACAATAAGATGTATTTTCATTTATTAATTATACTAATTGTAACAATTATTAGTTCATTTTGAGTAACAATATTATTTCAGATTCAAATATTAGTCCGTTTTTATTTTATTTTACAATAGTTAGTATTTTAGTGTGTTACAAGTTATAAGATATAATATATCTAAGATATATAGGGTATATAAGATATCCTCAAAAAAAAAATGTATACTATAAACATATTTTCTTTTTTAAAGAATTAATTCAACATTTTTAATGAAATATATAAAAAAATATTTGTTTGCTTTTACATATAACTTATATACTTAAGATTATTAATAATAATGATAATGATAATAATAAAATATTATTTGAAGTTTTATCCCTACCTGTGTCCTATATGTATACAGTTTTAATTATGTTTTTAATTATATAAACCTGTATACAAATTATTAATTTTTATTAATTTTAGATTCGCAAGATTTCATTATTAATCGGTAACAAAGATCTAGGTAATAGTGTAAGAAGAATAATGAGCTGTATGTTTGATGATAAATTCCTTACAAATTATTCGTTGTTTGGCTTCAAGAAAAAAATCATTTTCATGTTTGTCATGATGTCGTTTGATTATAGGTGAGAATTACATTAAAAATGGGTGTAGTAACTATTATATTGTTAAAACTTTAAATTAAAATATATTTTTTTATCACACTGATGCTAGGATGCTAGGACTTAAAACCTGTAATAAAAGCTTCACATTTTAATATAATTATTAGAATCCCGTCTAGAATAGCGAAAAATTGTATGAGACTATGATTACTCAAAGTTCTACTATAAAAACATGTATATAATTAACAAACAAATTTCATTCCACTTTAAAGAAAAAAGTTAGTATACTATTATGAATTTATGTTGATGTTTTTATTTTTACACTGTATCCAACCATCAATTCAATAGTGACATTGAGAGTTCTGACAAAATATTTAGTATTTAATCTAAGAAAGAAACTTTAATTTTATAGTTTATTTTATTTTATTTTATTTAGCATACAATACGGGCGTGAGCCCAATTTCATATAATATAATATAACAAATTACAATAATGTGATAACAGTGAAATATAAAGATACATAAATACTTGGTTACAGGTTATGAAATAGAAAAGAAAGGGTCTGAATTGGCAATAGACATCCAACATCCAACGGTTCATTTAAACCATAATTTGTGGAGGCGGTAGGTAAATTAAAAAAGGTGTGTTGACGAGTGTAGCGTGGAGGGACATTTAAAGGAATTAGAGAGAGGAGGTGCGGTGAGTCAATTTGCCCATTTAATAACTTGGATAAAAATGTGAGGTTAGCAGCACCCCTACGAGTCGCTAGCGAATCTAGTTTGAGATACTCAAGTACTGGTAAATAATTATGAGGAGGACATGCTACCTTAAGTGTATGACTGGCATATTTTAAAAATTTATTTTAGACTCGTTCAAGCATTAAAGCGTTTTGAGCAGTACTAGGATCCCAAATGACAGAGCCGTATTCAAGGATAGGCCTAACAAGCGAACAGTACAGTGCCTTAAGAGGAGAAGCTAACTTAAACTCAGTTGTAACACGCTTAATAAAACCTAAGATTTTAAGTGATTTACAGCAGATATGCAAAATATGTAAATGGGGGCTAAGCGTAGGACAGAGAACAAAACCAAGATCAGTGACAGATGAGTCAAGTGACTGCAGAGTAGTCCCATTGATTGCATATTTAAAATTAATTGGGTTTTTAAGATGTGTAAAAGTCATATGGTGACATTTAGCTATATTAAAATCTAACCCTAGTTTGTTGGCCCATACAACATTTGCATTCAGCTCATTTTGTAAGACATGACAGTCGTCTAAGGAGTTGATTCGATAGAATATTTTTACATCATCCGCAAACGCTAGGAGCCGAACATGATCTAATGAAAAATTTAAAAATATTGAAAACAGTAGGGGAGAGAGGTGGCCCCCTTGTGGGACACCAGATGAAATGGGGAGTACATCAGAAGAGATACCATGAATTCTAACAAATTGTTTCCTTCCTTCAATAAAAGAACACAACCATGACAAAAGTGGGTCCCCGAAACCAGTTGCTTGCAAGACATGTTGCAATATATAGTGATCTACACGGTCAAAAGCTTTACAGAGTCAGTGAAGATGACATCCATTTGAGAGTGAGTTTTAAAAGCTTCAAATATATAGTTATAAAAGACTGCATTACAAGTAGTTGTAGAGCGGCCTGGCCGGAAACTATGCTGTTCCTCCATTAACAATCTGTTGACGCTTGGTTGAATAATATTAAGAATTAAAGATTCGAATAATTTGGCAATGTGGGAAAGAATAGAGATTGGCCTGTAGTTGGAGACCTGAGATGCATCCCCTGATTTCAGTACCGGAGTAATAGAACATAGTTTCCATATATCAGGGAAAGTACCTTCATCCAAGGAGCGTCTAAATAAAAGCCATAGTGGAAAAAAGATAGAATTCCTAACATTAAATAAAAATAATCCAGACAATCCGTCAGGTCCAATAGATTTAGTATTACGCAGAGAAGTAAGACCGTTAAAAACATCATCAGCTGAGAAAAAACAGTTATGGGGCAAGTCATACTCTAGAATATTGATGCTGGAAAGGTCACAGTTGCTACGCTTGGGTGTATATACAGAATTAAAATAGGAAGAAAATAAATTGGCAGAATGTTGTTCATCAAGTCCTGTTGTATGATTATAAAATACAGTTTTAGGAACAGTGTTTTGTGAGCGGTGTTTCCTAACAAAGTCCCAAAAACTCTTGGGATCATTGTTAAACGACTTTCCAGCTTTAGAAACAAAACTTCTGTAGCACCTTTTTCACTCAAATTTACAGCGTGCCCGAAGGAAGGAAAACTCTCTATAGTGGACAAGGGAACCAGAGGATTTATACTTCGCATGTGCTCTTAACTTTTGGAAAATAAGATCCTTCATGTGCTTAGAGACCCATGTGGGAAAACAGGACTTAGTAAATGTGGATTTTGGAACGTATTTAAGAACAGTGTAGTGAAGAGCATCATATAAGGCATATACAGAGGAGTTGAGATCAAGACCAGAAAAGGTTTGCTCCCAGCTAAAGGAAGATAAATACCTATTGATTTCGTTATAGTGACCTTTATGAAATTTAAAGAATTCATGGGTTGAATCAAACTGCATAACTGGCGTCGTCGTAATGTATTTAATACTTAGCGCAGGGTGGTAGAGATCTAGAGGGACTAATGGCTCAATTGCTGGTTCAACACACAAATAATTAAGATTAGAAAACACCAGATCAAGAACCGAGTTACAACAATTAAAAACACTATTATGCTGCAAGAAACCTGATAGGGTAAATCCATCAGGGACACAGGGAACTCTAAGACCAGTACAGGAACTATACTGAAGACCATCACTATTTACGGACCATGTAATTTCAGGCAAATTGTAGTCACCACAGAAAATAAAGGAGTAACTCGGGTATTGTGAAACAATAGAATCAATAACAGACATATGGGACTCATAAGTTGAGGGATGGGGAAGGGGGAAAGTAAACACCACAAATAATAAAGGAAAGGGATCCAACGTGAAAGCGCACAAACAACTGCTCAACGTTAAAACAGTCAATTGGTACAATGCAAGAGGATATATCTTTACGGATACCAATTAAGACCCCTCCCCCTCGGGAGCAAGTGCTAGTTGCTTCACACCTGTCAAATCTGTATAAATTATAATTGAAAAAACCAAGTTCACAATCAGAAAATGAATTACTAAGCCAGGTTTCAGTTAAAACAATAAACATATAATTAAGGGACACAACATTACATCTAACATTAGAAAGTTTCGTGCGTAGCCCTCTACAGTTCTGGTAGAAGCCAGAAACTGTTAAGTTTAGGAGGTGCTTTGATTGCTGGACTTTGAACCTGGTTGGCGTTGAGGAGGTTCCCCGTTTTTTGACCCCGAGATCACTTTCGGAACACCATTCACATACTTGACCGAAAGCCCAGATTCACCATTAGAAGTCCGATGATCAAGTTCCATGTGGCAGGATCTTAGCTGCCTCCGTTGAAGCAGGGTCTTATCTTTGATAATTCGAAAACCTTGAGGAAATGACACTCCTTGTCGCTTAGCCTCATTAAAGGTGGTTTCAATGTTTGCAGCATCAACTTTAGATCCAAAAATAACTTTAAGAGGGCGTATGTTATCAGAGTTGGCTTTACCAAGCCGTACATATTTACAACCACTTAACGGCACATTGGTATTAGCACCGAGTAGTTCCTGCAGGGAGACTTTATCTTCTTCAGCCCTCTGGGAACCAGAAGAGGACTTATACTCAGGGACACCATAGGCAATAATGTTGAAAGAACAAAGCTCAAGCTCAAAAGTCTCTTGCAAAACTTGAGTAACAGTAGTTTCCGCAGTAACAGAGGTGGAACCTGACTCAAGGGACTCTACCTTGTTCTTAAGTAAATAAACTTCAATACGCAGCGCTGAATTTTCAGCTTTTAGATCCGCAACTAGACATGAAAGCTGTTTAAGGTCGTTTTTCAATTCTTTAAATTGAGACGCTTGGGCAGCAGATTGCGCTTTATTGGAGGACATATAGTCATCACGAAAGGAGCGTAATGTAGACATAACATCATCTAAGGAGGAAGAGTTGGTAACTGATGCATTAGAAGAAGTAGATCCAGTGCGGTTACGAAGAACCCGACTATTACAACCCGTTCACAGTGTTCATACGATTTATAAAATAGTGTTAATTCGTTCATTACCGCCGCCATTATATTCATTGTTGCGTGTTGTATATAATATTCATATTATCATACGCGCCGCCGCCGATACGCAGTAGCTGGGAAACAGCGCTACGTACGTACGGACAAAGAGATTCTCGTCGTCGTCGTCGTCGTCGCCGCCGCCGCCGCCGGGACAACCCGTTACTACGTCACAACTCGATACAGCGCTCCGAACACATTTACGCGGAGTCTTCGTTCTCCGTCGTCGTCGCCGCCGCCGTGTTACACAGTGTCGCCGTCAGGAAGGAGTCTTCGTTTCGGTACGCGCCGTCGCCGCACGAGTAGGGGCAAGGTCAACGTCGCCAGCAGTGGGGCAAAACCCAAAATCTGATGTCCATAATTAATTCAGCAATGAATGGAAAAATACATACTAGCGTGTTCACTTCAGAGAGACTTCTTGAGGAATTAAGAGAAATTAAAATGAACCTAGCGGTGGGGACAGCATTGCCATTAGAAATTAAAACGGAATCTCTAACAGAGTTTCTACAAATGTCTGACCTCACAATCTTCCACAGGGAGCACTACTAAGTTTTCGCTATAGGAATACCCCTAACATCTATCCAGGAATATACCATGTATCATCATATTGCATTTCCCATTCTATACAATGAGAATACCATAGCCCTAATTCCCCCTGAAGTCGACTACCTAGCATTAAGTAACGATAACGAAAAGTTTATCTCATTAGGAGTAAGTCAATGGGAAGAATGTATCAAGTTAGGATCATATACTCTTTGTAAGGGCGACCAACCTATTCAGTACCGAGCGGGATCCAACTTGTGTGAGTTATCACATTTGATTAGTTTTGATAGCCCTTTGAAAGACTGTGGAGTCAAACTGGTAACCTTAGAGACGCCTATTTGGCATCGTTTATCAAAAGCAAACTCCTGGTTGTATTATACTCGAACAGAGTCATGTACAATTACGTGCCCAGATCCTCCGCAAACCTTTAGAGTTGAGATCTCGGGTGTGGGTAGGTTGACCGTCCCTCCGTTTTGCGAAATTCATACGGAAAATTCTATAACATTTTTTCCCGCGTTACTGGTCAGAGCATCTTTTAAGTCTTATAACAGAGCATCATTTAGTTTTTTAATCAGAACCTCTTATATTAGTGTGAAAGCAGTATTCAATATAATCTTTTCAATAGTGTTTAATGTAATAAATTAGTAATTCTATTTCTACTAAATCTTTGTGTTTTTCATTTGACACCAACTCCTAATATTTGAATGCCATACGACGGTGGACTACACTTCAACTGTATGGTACCTGTATGTACACCTGACCTTTGGTATTATACATTTAAAATGGTATTCAAAATGTGTGAATATTTCGATGTTTAAATGATACAAGTAGTTATGCAATATTATACATGTATATTATATACCTACTGAATTCTGACATTAGAATTTAGAACATTGAAGATTATGTTAAAAAAATAAAAATTGTGTTTTTATTTGTATTAAAAAAAATAAGACATTTTTATAGCCTATAATTTTTTAACTTTATTAGACTTGCTCATGCGCACTATCAGTTTTTTTTCTTGAATAAAAACCACCTACTTTCACCACTAATTATTTAGTAGTAGTAGTATAACCAACTTTCTAAGTAACAGAATTTCTCACATATGTGTACATATTTATTTAATTATGTACAATATTAAAAAACCAGGAATTTTGAATGATGATTCAGAGGATATGCTACTTGGTATGTTTGAAGGCTTTTCCAGCGATATTTTTAAAAACCACTTTAAAAATGCAGCACGTGCAGCCAAAGGTCGTCGCTACCACACTGAAATAAAGCAGTTTGCACTAACGTTACATTATTACTCACCTAAAGCTTTTGCTTACTGCCGGTAAATTGCTTGTCTGCTTATTTATTTTATTTATTGTGCATGATTTAATCATAATACTGTTGCTTATTTCATTTTAAATAGATCCATTCTTAGTTTGCCTAATATATCGGCTATACGGAATTGGACATCTTCTCTTAATGCAGAACCAGGCTTTCTTACTGAAGTTTTTGATGCTTTGAAAACATTGTCACCAGCAGATGAACATTGTAATTTGATCCTAGATGCAATAGCAATTAAAAAACAAATAGTATGGGACAAAAAAAATTTTAAATATGTTGGGTTTAGTGATTATGGTAATGAATTGGATTTAGAAGGAACAAATACACCTGCCACTGAAGTTTTAGTATTCATATTAGTTAGTTAATAGTTTAAATGGTAAGTGGAAAGTTAATGTTGGATATGTTTTTCAAAATAAAATCAGTGCTTCTACTCAAGCTGAACTCATTAACTCAGCACTGACCATCTCACATAATGCTGGGCTAAAAGTTTGGGGGGGGGGACGTGTGATGGGGCTTTTACAAATTTTTCAATTATGAAAATATTGGGCTGCTTATTTGACAATATAGAAAATTATAATGACTTAAAGTGTTGGTTTGACCATCCTATTACAACGGAAAAAGTATTTTTCATACCGGATCCATGTCATATGGTTAAACTTGCTCGGAATACACTAGGTAATAATAAAATATTGATTTCTAATGAAGGAGCTATTAAATGGAGTTACATTGATCAGTTGTTTGAAGTTCAAAATAAATTATCACTTAAATTAGCTAATAAATTGAGCCAGGCCCATGTTAAGTAGCAGAATAATAAAATGAAAGTGAAGCTTGCAGCACAAACCTTAAGTGCATCGACAGCTGATGCATTGACTTTTTTGAAAAATATGCACATGGAAAATTTTCATAATGTAGATGCCACAGTTACTTTCTGTAGAAATATTGATAGGATATTTGATTTTTTGAACACCAGGAATCCATTTGGAAAAGGATTTAAATCTCCAATATTTCCCTCAAATATTGTTTTTTTTGGAATTGGTTGTAGTTCCTATTATACAATATTTATTTAGTTTAAAAATTCAAAACCAATCCAATAATTTGCAATTTGTACACACAACTTATGTTATTGGTTTTGCAATTGCTACAAAATCCATCTTGTCGATTGCGAAGCTTTTATTTCATGAAACACCTCATTTTAAATATATTTTGTCATATAAGTTTTCCCAGGATCATATTGAAATACTCTTCTCAAGATTCAGACTGAAATTTGGTTCAAACAATAATCCAAACATATTACAGTTCAAAACGGCACTGAAACAAATATTAATGAAAAATGCTATTACTTGTAGTTCAAATGGAAATTGTAATTCTTTCGATAATGAAGTGTTTGGAGATTTGTTTGATTTTAAATAGAGTAGAAAAAATGAAAACTTAAATGATTTTGATGAAATAGAAGATAAAATTGATGAAAACGTTGATGAAAACGTTGTAAATAGAATAACATTACTAAATAGCTCAAACAAAACAATGATTGAGGCAAAAGAAAATATTTTATATTATATTACAGGGTACATTGTTAAAAAAGTTTGTAAAATTATAGATTGCAATTCCTGCATAACATCACTTATCGAAAATAAAAATGACCATAATTTATTATAGTTTACCACTCAGATACAAACAGTTTGTTCTCCTAAAAAATCAAGGTGGTTTAGTTATATCATCTAATTGTGTATACAGAATAATTAAAGAATCTGAAATTAGTTTCTTGTATCATACAAACTATCTTTCAAGTATTAATATTAAAAATTTAGACAAAATAATTATTAGTCATGTTGTTAACAAATTTGTTTTGGAAAATTCTATACCTATTTAAAGATTTAAGTTGTGAAAATGTTGGAATTTTAGAAAGACCGCATAAATTAGTTTTAATAACTTTGCTTGTTAAAAAAGTGTTCGTTTACATTCCTATGGTAAACAGTTTTCGTCAGACTTGATAAACCCTGTCAGTAAACGTCAAAAATTAACGAAACTATTCTTTTTTATAATCAATAGCCATATGCATACTACTACCTACTGTACGTTTTTTTGCTAACTGCACAATTTTGTTTTTTTTATTAATAATAACAATGTTATGTAGGTACGTACCATTTTTTTAATTACCCACTATTTTATAAGTTTTTTTAATAATATATTTATAGTAATATTGTACGTACCTAAATACTTATATTTGCATTACTACGTGTGTGAATATGGGGGACCAAAGCTAGGGGACTATTTTCTCGGACGACTAAGGATAACAGGCCTTGTATGCCCGGTTGCGTTTTATTATATTCAAGGCACCCGACATTTGTATTACTGTCAACCACAAGATGGTGCCATGAAATTCACTTACATCATTATGTGCCCGTATATTAATGCGACCGACCAGCCCAAGAGACTATTTTTTTGTACTGCCTATGGACGAGCGGGCGTGCCGTTTTTCATTTTTCCGACCAAGTTCCGGAAGGTGGCGACGCATTAACCCTATATATTCGGAAAGCCAGGAAAATTCTCTATAAGACGTTTATAATTCAAAAGTGTTCAAAGCTTCCGGGGACATAGTAAAATGCAACCGACCAGCCCAGGGGACCATGTTTTCGTACTGCCTAGGTACGGGCGGGTGTGCCGTTTTTAATTTTTTTGACCAAGATTATCTTTATTATTATTATGAGCCACCATACATTTTTGGCTTCCAAAAATTGATTAAATGCGAATGAAAATAGGAGTAAGTACAATTAACAAATTAATACTTACTCTCATATTATCGTCGAGTGGTTTAAAATGTGGTAGTTATATCTTTCAATGATTCACTTCTCGTTCAAGAGGAGTTTTTTTTTAATTTTTTACATGACTTTTTAATTTTAGTAGTATTGTTTTAATGATTTTAAAATGTTTTATATGTATCTTGCTATTATTTTATTTGAGTTTCTCACGCTACATTAAAGAAGTTCGTTT